ATTTATAGAATCACAAGTCAAATCTGAGGAAAAAAATGATTAAAAATATTGGTGACTTTGCCTCAAAATAGGATTCAGAAAGTGTTTTTTTTTTTTCAAAATCCAGATCATACATATTCTGCTACACATTTGAACAGTTTCATGACACCACACTTTTGTCAGAGCTGGATGTTTCCTGGTTCGACTCTTACAAAACAGACAATTAGCTGTTGGCCAGTTAAGGCGGGACACAAGTCATACATCCACCATACAGTTCTCCAATAGGTTTCTATTTAGGATTCTTTAAATGGTGAGCCCCTACTTTGTAATGTCTCGACTAAAGTATACTCAGTGAGCTGTGGGTGATATAGGTTAATCCAGAGATGGGAGTTTTTCTTAGTAGGTACGAGTTTAGTTGACCAACACTTTCTTCCCCCTAAATTCCTGAGATTCAAATACAAAGAGCCCTAAAAGTTCTGCAATTCTGTTGTAACCCTTGTGACAACACTTCCACCTCAAGACGAAGCTCACAAATGAAAAGAGAGAGGACCAATGGTGACTTTTCTTTCAAATACTAATCAATGTTCTAAAAGCAGAAAGCCTCAAACCATCAACTCCATCAATAAAATATATCAGAAACATCTTTAAAACAAAGTCCAGTTCATTTTCCAGAGACTATGAACTGCACCACAGTGTATAAAGGCTAGAACAGAGTGAGTGTAGGGAAGAACTACAACAGCTACGTCCACACTTGTTCTTTGAAACTCTTTCCTGCTCCCATTTTTCCAGCAGGTTTAACACAAAAACAAACCATCTGTCGCTCCTGGGCGCCGCGTCGACGCTCACATACACACTAATGCCGACAACCAAGGAGTGTAGGAAGCCTCTGAAAGCAGAACAAAAACCCACCGTAGTAGTGGCGACTGTGTTTGTGCGGCACGTGTGTTGATGTGCTGCACCTCTGTAACGACGCAGCCATGCAGCGGTCAGTGTGGTGGATGTAATTCAATCAGAAATGCGCGGTGAAGACGTGATTTCCTGTGAACTGCTACGGATGCTTGAGGCCGGGTGGATGTTTACACAGTTTGTGCATCTGAGTGTGTGCTCCTCAAAAAAAAAATTTAAAAGAAGGGAGACAATTCTGTTTACACAAGTTGAACACAAACTAGACGGAGGACTTGTTTATGAGTGTGTGTGGGGATCTGAAATAATCGTTTTCGCCCCACTGATCCGACTGTCAGGGTGATTGAGGTGGCGCCCGTTCGCCTCTTGTCTGTTTCGTAACAGCGAGGATCACCGAAGCGTGTGCTGGTGTGAAACAGAGCGGTTGTCAGAATGAAAGACTTGGTGATTGTGTGAATAAGAACACTTAGTTTTCATCCCTACTGTGTGATGCTAGTGTGAACAAGCATCTTCTTACTGCTTACATCAGCCTATTACAGCCACACTAGTGCTGGGCAGAGCTGCTACAAGTTTAACTACATTTCTGAGTATCGTGGCTGCTTTCTGAATCAAATAGTGAAGCTCTTTTATTATATGTATACCGACATGGGTGAAGGTACATCTGAATATTTGGGAAAACACATCAGGGGGATATTGGAGCATCAAACTCCATAATTGTGGTAAATGTTTGTGCACCAGTTTGTGCTTTTTCTGCACCAATTCAAGCAAAAATGTCTATTTATGTGCTGGAAAAGACTAAATTTAGGCATTAGGTGACAATTTTAAAAAGGAATATATATAGAGATTTAACTGCACTTTCTACAATAGATTCAGTGGTTGTATCAGCTTTTATTTTGCATAGTTGCTGAAGAAAATAACGTCACTGTGTGAGGCAGTGTTGCATTTATTACCAAAAACATTAGTGTTCCTCAGTGTTTTTATCAAGGCTGACAAATGTATGTATTCATTATATTCAAATCTGAGCCGATGTGTTCTTATATACAGTATATTTTCATAGATGACAAGATCATCTTTTATATGAGTATTATCATTTATATATGTAGGTTTGTGCTAAACCTGAATTTCCCTCCTTTACATGAGCTCATCTCTTTAACCTCTTGAGACCTGAGCTCTTGTTTGACGTGAATTTTTAACAATTTCTCTCTAAAAAAAAGAAAAAAATAAAGATAGTAGAAATATATTTAAACTATATATAAAATATATTTAAATATATATAAATTAAAAACAATTAAAAACTAAAAACAATTAAAAATTAAAAATAATAACTAAAAATAAAAAATACAAATAAATAGAAAGAATAAAAATAAAATAATGAAAATAATAAAACTACTGTGGTAATATAACCCAAAAATGTGATATCCACACATGTGGATGCCAGGTCTTAAGAGGTGAATCCACATTTACATGTTTAAATATGTGACTTCACATTTTTTATTGTGTGTCTTCAATCTGTGTGAGCTCAGATTTTTAATTTTTAATTCTATAAAATCTTTTAATCTTCTATAGTCCTTAAGCTAAAAAGGTGGTGTATAAATAAAATTACTATCATGTTAGAGCTAATCAGACAGTAATACCTCACTGAAACTGAGAAAAACGACTTGTGTTTGAATATAAAACCCATCACCAGACCTGTCTATTTGGCTTTGAATATATTTGCAATGACCACAAACATGTTTTGTTCTTGACTTTAAAAGTGACAAACGGAGCAAACGCAGCTGACGGTGACAGATGTGTTACAGTAGTGAGAACACTCACCGTGTTACAGAAACCCTGCTTTCAGCCTCCATGTCTGCCAGTAAGTCCTTTATTATGGCCTCCTCTAGTGGTGAATCTCTCCTACAGCGCTTCGGCTGAGGCCCACAGGTGTAGGATTCATGCTGAGCTGCCTCTTTCTGCTAAAGAAACTCACACAATAATCATTTCTGGAGCTCTGACCTATAGTTACATCACATTATTGGACTGTATTATAACATTTTGTGCTGAAATATGACATGCAAAAATTAAAAATACAGTTTCAAATCAACCATATCTACACTCAAATTCACTAACGTGGGCTGAATCTGGACTTTAATCTCTGTGACTGTGCTCACACCTTCTATATAACAGTACGGATTGTAGGTGCCACAAAAACAAAGGCGTGTTTTTAGTTTCTTTTTGCTTAAGCTGGCCACATAAAACATGAGATAACACAGTCTGACCCTAACAGTTGAACACTCCAGTCCGTCCTCTCACTCTGCTTTATGAGCAATATAAAAACTACTCACCTCCTCGGCTTGATTTCCTGAAACGAGATGAGTAAACCAACGTGAGATGTTGTTAAACCTGGAGAGTATCTTGTGGGTACGTTTGCTTCAGACAGTCGACTAGTTACGTTTTACAGGCTTGTTTACTCTTTAACATTGAAAAACACAATGAAGGTATGCAAGTACAAATCCAGCCAATCTGATGGTGAGCTCTTTAACTGCTTCTGAAGACACAACAGATGGATTAGGAGATGGATATGAGTCAAATTAAGCTTCCCAGACTTTGTGTTGTTGAAATAAAACAAGCTGCTGCAGCAGGTTCAGAAGCATCCTTATTGGTTGAAACACTTTCAGGTGCAAAGCAAAGCTGGGCGATCATCCAGCAGATGTGCCTCCATTCTCACCATCCTGCATGTTTTTCTCCAGGTAGAGGATCAGAACAAACGGGTAGACTGTCAGGTTGTCGCTGTGTTTGTACACTCTCTCCCACCGCTTCTTATCTGGCAGCTACAGTTAACAAAATACAGTCAGTTTGCGACATAAAACATGAACCTATTATGTGATGTAAAAGTACTCCTGGTCCTGCACAGGAACAGAGATGTGTGATGCACTAATCCTCACATCACTTTAATAGAACAGAAATAACGATGACCAATGTGGTGCGAAAGGATACACGGAAAGACGGTGTAGTGGGCGGTGGAGAAGGGCTGGAGGCCGTCCAGGTTGCCGAGAACTGTTCTAATAATTTCCTAAATAAAAGAGGAATTAATTTTTAAAAAAGAACAGCGTGTCAAAACAACGACGTGTGAACGCTGACACAGTGAGCGAGTGGGCGAGCAGCATCCATAATTACCTCCAGTTCCTGATTGAAGCGCTCTTCTTCTTTAACCTCCTCCCCACTGATGAGATATATCAAGAACATTTTTATCCCAACGGTGTTGTTGTACAGACGTTTGAGTAACTTATTTCAAAGCTGATTACAGCATAGCACGCTGTATCAATCAGTGGAGGCGATTCTCCAATGCAGGACATGCATGAAACAGCATTATGTTAAAGCTGAAATGCTGCTGAGCTTTGAGAAACATTAAATATAGTTTAGATAAAGAGTCTTCTTGACTCACAAGGCAAAATGGCTCCAAGGCTTTCCTTAGAGATCAGTTTTATATCCCTGACTAAAGACAGACAGATCCTGTGAGGCCTCAGATTCTCTTCTTTTGCAGATAAAAAGACACGTCAACAGGACACGTATTGTCAGCTGTTTAAAGAATAGAGTGGAAAAGAATGTTTCCTCTGTTGCCTGAAGCTCAGCTGTGCCCCCCGGCAGCTCTTGAGATTGAATAACATTTTACAGCACTTTGAAGAATCAAATCTATCAGGAGAAAAAGGGGATGAGACGCGTGGAGGGAACCAATGGGTGGACCTCAATCAGCACCGGCCTGATTTCAAGCAGCTCTTTTATTCTGCTTTGAAGAAATATGTTTAGTAAAAGAAAAAAAACAAGGAACCAATAATGGGGGATGTATTTAAACAAGAAACTGTAGTTGCTCTAATCCAGACCGCAGCCTCTGTTTCAAGCTCAGCCTCAAGATGTTTCCCTGAAGCTACTCTTGATCTCCAGCCTGGTAAAGAAAGCTCAGAAATGACTACTTCTTAAGGAAACCTAAGAAAGCTTAGATTGTGCCAAGTTCTTGTTAAGTTTAACAAAAGAGCAACAGAAAGCAAAGTGGAAACATCACAAACTACTATCAGTCGTGTGGGCCTGAGGGGCAGGTTGTGAGATGAATTCATTCTCAGTTCACTATGACAGTAGTTTTATTTTTATTACTCTATTAAGGTGGCTCGGTGGTTAGCAACGTTGCCCTGTGACAGACTGGTGACCTGTCCAGGGTGTCCTCTGCCTTCACCCTGAGTCAGCTGGGATAGACTCCAGCCCCCCACGACCCTAGTGAGGATTAAGCGGTGTATAGATGATGGATGGATGGATTATTTATCGCTTCTTGTCTTTTTTACGAGTATGCAGTCTTGTGTTGCATAATGACAATTAAATAGACTCTTGAATCATACGCTTTTCACTTGGAATCATCTTGGTGATGAATAAAAAGCCCAACTGCCTAATTTCTAGTTATGAATAGTATCTGCCAGCGACGCTCATCCAAGATGTGACTGAATGTATTTAATAAAATGTCATTTCTAGCTCACAGCTCCCATCAAATACTATTTCAAGCTTGGATGTGAGGTGTTATTTTTGTCACTGCTTTCCTCTTGTTTTGGTTTTTCTGGACTTAGTTCAGTTTTACTTGACCATGTTGGTTCAGGATGTGTCAGCAGCCCTATAGAGAGATATGCATGTACTCATAAAACTTTAATGTGTAACATTAAGACCTAAAAGGCATAACTTGGATCAATCCTTGAGATTGTTTTTAATAACTTGAGGGTTAAATAAATAAGTGTATTATGAGTCGTCATGGTGTACTTGAACCAGAGAAAGTTGACTATTTGTCCTGCAGAGATTTGCCACCCATTGATGTAAAATAGCCATATTAGCTTCTCTTCATTGTCTCCCTATAAAACCCTAAATTGAGTTTTCTTCATCTAAAAGCTCTAAATGACTACAATCTATCTTATCTTAAGACCTTATTGTTCTACAGAACTTGTTGCTCTCAGAGCGCCGGTTTACTTATTGTGCTTAGAGTTTCCAGAATGGATCCTTTGCTTTAGATCCATCTCCTAGTTTAGCTTTGAGAGACAGACACCCTCGATACTTTGAGGATTAGGCCTCACACTTTTCTTTATTTTAAAGCTTATAGTTACGGCTGCTCAGGTGACCTTGAACCGTCCCTTAGTTATGCTGCTATGAGCCTACACTGCTGGGGTGCTTCCCATGCTGATCTCTCTGTATACATTTATACGTCCCCATTGCCTGTCACCAGCTTTTTGTTTCCTCTTTCTTGTGTTTTGTTCTCTTTGCAGGCATCTCTGGCTGCAGACCTACACGTTTCTGATCTCTGACCTCCCAAATGTTTATTGTTCTCCTGCGATCGTCTGTTTTCTATGTGCTTTTCTGTTCTCTCCCCCCTTTATTGTCAACCCATCTGTTTGACACAGATGAGCCTGATTTTGTTGTTTTATTTCCTGGTAATTACAGTTTTTTTTTCATCCCATTGCTGCAAAGTGCTTGCTCAAAGGGAATCCAAAGCAAACTATTTTTGGTGTCTCTGTATAATTTTGCAAGGTTAATGTTAATTGAGTTGTGTTTCTGTGCCACCCAAGTGTGAGTAATTGTCAGTAATTGTCCGGCTCCATCACTGCTAAGACCAAAGCAAAAGAAAATAAAGGAAGGTAGAGCATGTTTTTAATCTTAAATTGAGGTTTCAGCCCGTTTGTGTCTTGCCTGTAGCTGTTGCCTCCTCTGATCTTGAACTTGTAGATGAAACTACCAGCTTTAAAGAATCTAGTTTCTGGGAAGGGGAAGCAGAACGCCTGCAGCGGCATGGCTGACCTACAGGGATCTGGAGGAAAAAATACAAATTAATGTATTAATAGGTGGATTTATGGTCGTGTGGGAAACCAGAATATAAAGTACTAATATGACTTTGGGAAAAATAGCAAATGAAAGTCTTAATTGGTGGACTTTTGGTCATGTGGGCAATAAAACATACAGCAGCTGCGCATGTAAACATCACTGATGAACATGTTGCTAGGTATGCAGCTATATAGAATAAATTTAAAATACACTCCTGTCTTCACTCCAAACTCTCTCTACTTTCATTTTTTCTTAAAATTACCGTAATGTCTACAGAAAACGGCGACCACGGAGTCACCACCGGGCTGTTTTCTCCCTCCGGTAGACGTTAAACGGTTAAAACCGTCTCCGTCAATAAAAAACTCCACTCGACTCCAGATTCGTCAATGTGGCTGAATTCCCGCCTTCCGGTGTTTTGGGCTGCGTTGATTGGTTGCAGCTTAGACCAATCAGCGGCGTGAGAGCTGGAGTCACTATGGTGACGGCGAAAACCGCCCAGCCGGTCACATGACCGTCAGCTGACCACGTGTAGCTAGCGGCGAGTTGCAAACGCTCATGGTGAAGTTTGGAGTTGTGGTCTTTACTCGTGACGTTTTTTTTTTTGTTATTAACCGTTTCTGTGGCGTTTTAAAACCCGACAGGACGAGGCAGGTCTTTTCTTTATAAATATTTCCTGCGAAGCGACCTAAAAGGTGCAGTAGAAGTGTTTATTATCGATAACATTTAATAATTTAATTGTGATGTTTCGGTGTTAATTCATGCTGCGTCACTGTCACCATGCTGTCATACTATAGCTTTTGTACATCCTGCACATACTGTACGCTCCTGTGTTGTTGCACATCAGTGTTTGTACTCACTGTGACGTCCCAGTATTTTAAACCTGTCATTATAAACTTGTTTGCACTTCCTGCTGCTCCACATGTCCCAACACAAGCACACGTCAGTTCATAAAGTTCATAAAGTTTAGTTCATTGTGTCCCAAACTGTCCTCATGCAACCCTTTGCATTTAGATGTTTGTGCAGTAATTTGTGCCTTTCTCTATCAGTGTATTTTTGAAATGTGTTCATTTATATAAAGCAAAACAGGTGATAAACGTGATGAAGTAATGCTCTCAGGTGTTTTTATATTGCTGTCAAGATTTTATCTCTTGTAGATAAGCTTTTCTCATTTAATATTTAATATTATGTCTCTGAAGTCAACACACATACAGGCTGGATTTACTCTTTTGTCTTCTTGTGTTATTTGTTTCTAGAAACTTCTTTAAATGTGCACATGGCAGCTTTTCACATCTTTTTAAACCCCTGGACTTTTATAACTAATATATGTTTCAAGATGATATCTGCTCATGTTTCTGCACAATCAAAACAAGCGTTGTAGCTGTTTCTCAAATCCATGTGTCCCCTACGTTCCCTCTGAAACCTACATCGGTACATAAAGCGTTACACTGCATTGTATGACAGTGTGTGTCCTAGTGAAGTGTAGGGCTTTGGTGCAACCTCTGTAACACTGTCTGCTCTCCTGTAGCTACTTTGGGATCTTTAAAGCGTGCCACTTCTCAGTCTGAAACCACAATAATACGCAATGCTTGTGACATAATGAAACTAGCATGAAGGGTTATGAAACACCAGCTGATCTCATTGACCGTATCTAAGAGCTGAACTCTGTGAGCTGCTGTCTACACTGAGCAGGCACTTCAAATACCAGTTTTCAGTAGAAACACTGTCTCTCTAAACTCTCTCCCTTTCTTTGACAGTGTTGGGCAGATCAGGCCAGATGTCCTCCTCCTCTTCTGTCGACCTAAATACCGGGGTTCAGATGCCCCTCCTGGGTTTGGGGACCTACAAGTTGTGGGGTCCTGAAGAGGTGTATCGGGCCGTGAATGCTGCTCTGGCTGCTGGTTATCGAGCCTTCGACAGTGCAGCCGTCTACCGGAACGAAGCCGACTTGGGTCGAGCGCTGAAGGAGCTCCTGCCCAAACATGGCCTAACCAGAGAAGATGTGTTCATAACCAGGTGATGCACAGGCTGCTACAAGAGCACAGCATGAGGAAAAATCTTGGCTGTAGCATTATTCCATTTCAACTCATCCTGGGCCTTCTGCTCGACCAGCTCTGATTTGCTTGAAGCTTTTTGTTCAGTCACAAACTATAGATTTTTAAATGGAATCTGTGAAATTGAGTATTTAAAAAAATTTCTGAGATTTTTGTTTTTTTAAGTTGCTTGTCGACCAACTTTTAGCACACTTTATTTTGCATAATATCTCAAGCATTGTTGATGAAAAAAGCCTGGAATTTTGAAAAAAAAAAGAAGAAAATGAAATATGTGCCCATATTTTTAAAGAGTGACTCTTCTTAGTTATATTTGGAGAACTATTTTGAAACTCCAGAACTCTTTTCTACTCGTATCAGGCCATCGAGCAATATTTTTGTTTTTGTGGTACAACTTGTCGTACCTGCTCAGTCAGTTATGAAAGTTGAACAAAAATAACTTTACTTTCATAATCACAGGTTGTTTTATCTGAATCTATTACATCATTAGTCATAACAGTGAAAATTTCAAACATTACTCTTTTATAGTTCCTGAGATATTGTCATCCGTCCGTTCATTTTCTTCCGGTTATCTGGGGTCGGGTCGCAGGTGCACATCCCTCTTCCCAGCAACACTCTCCAGTTCCTCCTGAGGGACCCCTCCAGTGAATTCTGGCTCTACCTCGGGTCTCCTCCCAGGCAGACATGCCCAGAAAACCTCCAAAGGAAGTCACCCAGGAGGCATCTGGCTTCTTTCGATGTAAAGGAGCAGCAGCTTTAATCTGAGTTCCTTTGGGTCGAGCCCAGCCGCCCTACGGNCTTTAATCTGAGTTCCTTTGGGTCGAGCCCAGCCGCCCTACGGAGAAGCTCATCCCGTCTGCTTGTACCTGTGATTTCTTTCTTTAGGCCACTACCCAAAGTTTATAACTATAGATTAGATAGATTAGGGTTGGAATGTAGATTAACTTGCAAATTGAGGGCTTTGCGACTCATCCTCGTCTTCACTACGATGGTCCGGTGCAACGCCTGCATTACTGCTGATGCTTCAGCAAGTCATCGGTCCATCTCACCCTCCATTGTGTCGCCACTCACCAGATCCTGAAATACTTAAACTGTCTCGCTTGGGACAGCATGAGTTAAAATATTCCAAAAAAGCATTTTAAAAATCTTTACAATCTCACAAGTATCTTTGTAAATATTCATATTGTATGCTATAAAAATTTCAAGCAAATCAGAGATGGTTGAGCAGAAGTAGTTTTAACTGGTTTGACCTATATAGAATTGTATGTCGAATGTTTTCTGTTTCCCACTGCAGTAAAACGAACAATGCCTGCCTCTACTTGCTTGGATTTCACAGCCACATCACATGATCACATGAGGGCACGGAGGCTGACTTTCATGCAGATCTCTCCCTCAACAGCCTTGTTTCTCTCCCCTCTCGATGCAGTAAGCTGGGCCCTAAGGATCAGGGTGAGCGGGCCATGGACGGCGCCCTCCACAGCCTGGCCCAGCTGGACTTGGGCTACATCGACCTCTATCTGATCCACTGGCCCGGCACGCAGGGTCTGGTAGTGACTGACAAACGCAACCCAGGTTCGGGAACATAGCTTTTGAAAACACATGTAAAGCAGTTGAAGTGATGTGTTGTGTTTGCAAGCAGAAAAATGCTCCACTAGTTAGGAGATAAAATTCAACCTGTCTTCTCACATTCCTCTTCTGCAGTGCAGCTGCACTTAAGTAACATCGATGACGTGACTCTTACTTAATATTTGATCTCAGGCAACCGAGCTCAGAGTTGGGCCACACTGGAGGAGCTGCATAACCAGGGGAAGCTTAAGGCCATAGGAGTGTCCAACTACACCCCGGCTCACATGAGGGAGCTGATGCAGAGCTGCAAAGTCCCTCCTGCAGTGCTACAGGTACAAGATGGGAGGCTGGACGCATACAGTCCTCTATATGCAAACACTAAGATTTTTCAGGTCACATGAAGCCATTTTTCCCTCTTCAGGTAGAGTTTCACCCACGGCTGTGCCAGGCAGAGCTGAGGAGTGTCTGTGAGGAATATAAAGTGTGTTTCCAAGCCTACTCCTCCCTGGGGAAAGGAGAGCTGGTCACCGATCCTGCAGTCACGGAGGTGGCCAAGAACTGCAAACGCACACCTGCACAGGTAACCCCAGTCGCAGCAAACATATCTGCTGCACAAGTCAAGGGTTTGATTACGGCCTTGTGCTTCCCCTCCAGGTTCTGCTGCGCTGGGCGGTGCAGCAGGGCGTCCCGGTGCTGCCCAAGTCATCGAATCCAGACAGAATACAGGAGAACGCCAGACTTTTTGACTTCACCCTGAGCGACACGGACATGGACAGACTGTCAGCTTTGGACTGCGGCCACAAGTACTGCTGGGATCCGTCAGAGGTGGCCTGAAACACAAACTGGGACACTAACTCTCCTCCATGATGCCTGCTGTGTGGGGAATTACACATGCAGCTTAGTTTTTACATAATCAGATCAACTATTGTTATTACCCATATTCCACAATACACCGAGAGCCGTTTCAGTCAGTATTTAAAGGTTTTTGTTGCCTGATGATGAATTTTCATGTTTACAGATCTGCTCTTGTGCCATCACTTTAAGACTAATTCCACATTCGTCACAAGCTCTTGCCTCACTCCTGTGTCTTTTCATGTTCTTACGACTTATCTGCGAATTACCACAATCTCGGGACTTCAAAGTCGTCGAATTTTAAAGAAGCACAACAAAGCGAATCTCTTTAAAACCACTCTTAAAATTATTTATTCAGGACAGCATATACCAGAGGTTTCACAGCTGTAGAGAAAATACATTTACAAAAAGTCATTAAAAACTGATAAAGAATCCAACAAAAAAAACAAAAAAACAAAAGGAAATATTAAAATTCAATTTTCTCCACACACATCTCCAGATTCAAGTAATACTAAGGATGGTTGCAAAACTCCAGGTGCCCAGGCAGGTTTTGTTTTTTTCCTCTGGGGTGTGTTCACTGCCACAAAATCAGAGCCACAAAACGACTTGCTTGTTTTTTTGTTTTTTTTTCGTGACAGTAAACGCACCTCCACATATATTGTGCTTTTTTTTTTTTTTCCTTTTCTTGAGCGTAATATGCGACAGCGAGCAGTAAAGTTTAAGGCGGTAATTGGGTAAACAGACAAGGCTGGCTATGCGGTGTCACATCACAGGTTACAGCGTGTTCAAGGCAGTTCATTACAACATTATAGTACTCCGGCTGGACTTCTTATTTTCAAGAGAGTAAAGCGTTTCTATCTGGCCCCGACCCTCTCAGCACCATGCACGTGTTCTCCGCCAGCTGATCCAGTTGTACTACTTGTGTCAAAGTACATGCACAGGTCTATTTGGAGTGTTAAAATGTAAAAAAAAAAAAGAAGAAAAAAACTGAAACTCATGTGTGATATCATAAAACAGTGGATGTACTCCTTTTTCAACAGTTTATATTTGACAAATGATCAGTCAGTGGATCTCGCACAGTCAAGTCGATGCAAACATAGTAAAGAAAAGCTTCCAAGACAAACTAACCCTAGCAATGAAAAGCTTCAAAGACAACACAAACGCCGCCCTCGGCCCTGCACACCCGAGCACTTCGCAGCTCGACCCGACGAGTCGAGAGGAAGAGAGTAAGACACAAGTAGAACAAACCTATCACCACTTTCAATAATCACATTGATAAACAATTCACAACTAGCCCAATCTTTTTTTATTTTTTTATTTTTTTATACCGAGCTGTATGGGAGTGCTGATGATGCAACTCTATTTTATTGTGAGCTGCATGTGCCAAGTATTCCTAAAAAAAACAACACATAAATATCAAATTTAGCATCAGCACTCCTAAAGCTAAGGCAGATTAAGATCCCATTTTATTCACCTCCCAATGCAAAGTGAACAACCCACGTTTAAACAAATTCTTTTATACACAGGACTTGAAACTGATTTTCCTAAACAAACAAAATAAAAAAAGTAAGTGGAAGTCCCTTATATCTCTGAGTTCATCCTTTTTCTGCACTGGGAGCTGAGTAAACGAGGCCAAAGGCTAGCGTGTTGGCTCCTTGTACAGCAGTTAATTCATCCCCTTCCACTTCCTTAAATATGCTCGTTAACGTTTACCAGTTGGATTGTACACTGCCTATTGCTGGTTAAGCCTTGTAAATAAACTTCTGGCTGAACTGCCTTGCTTATAACCCCCAACCCCTCTTGCCATTTGATAAAATATTAACAAAATATTTACACGTAAAAATTCCAACGATTGTTTTTTTTTTTCTTCTTTTTGCTCATTCAAGGCTTTATAAAGATAGATTCTTATTGGTTTGTGCTTTTATATGTATGTTTAATGTCATCCGCTATAATCTAACCCTGAAAGTTTTTACAAAAGATATTATTTCTGCATCGTCAGAGATTGTCCTTTTACGAGATTGTTCTCCTTTTGATAAATTTGAGATATAAAGCAGTTAGTGATAGTCGAGCTGTATTAAATGGTACTGGCTTGCGAGTAGCAGTGCAGGAAGATGGATTATAGACCCCACGTAGAATGCCTTAAAAAATCCTTCCTTTTTTTGTGTTTTTTTCTTTTTAACAAAACTTGCCCGCAGATTGTTTTGGCACACACTTACAGTTATCTTTATGAGCTTGTGCAAATCAAACATTTGGAGCCTTAGTTAACACACACAGACACTGGTGATTTCCTTTAAGAAAACGAGGAAGGAAATTCTAACAGCATTCAAGGTGGCCTCAAATAGTCAGGTGTTTGGATTTCAGTACATTTATCTCAGCATCTACAGTATATTGCATAGTGTTGATGTGAGAGACAGTTGAAAGAGTAGGAATCTTTAAACTGAGTGGTCACCACCTCTCCGAATCCACTAGTATGCCAGTGTTTCTTTGTGTTTTTTTTTTTTTTTCCGGAGATTGCGTCTCCTCTCGTGGCTCATCCTTTCATCCTTCAGATTGCCAACAGTCCATCCTCGCGCCTGCTGACTGACTTTTAGTGTTGCACATCGGGCTGCGCAACCTTATCCGTTACATCACAATCGACACAAATACAAAAAAAAAAAAAGAAAAATTCAAATATAGTTACCGATGACATATAAAAACGGCTTTTCTAGGACGGGACTCATTGAGTACGCACCGTAGTGCTATTTACTGCATGTCCCATTCAGCCACGCCTTTTCGTTTGGATCCTTCCTTTTTATTTTTGTTCTTTCTTCCGTCGCAGGTCGCCCTGTTCAATGCCTCTCTGGGCCTCCCCGTAGCTGTCTTCTCCATCGATTCCTTCATCCCTCAAACGTCGCGTCGCTCTTGTTTCCTCTCTCGGTGCCTACTCATTGCGATGTGTGTGGTTTTCATGGTGGTTGTTCTCTCCCTCCAGCTCCTGGTGACTAAAGAGGTAGCTCCACCAGCTTTTAGAGTGGTGCATCTGTTTGGCCGTCCCTGCACTCCTCACCCTCTTCATCTCCTGGAAAACACAGAAGCGCAGTGTTAAAAATAAACCAGTCATACTAGGAAAACTCTTTTTTTGTTCCCTACTGGATCCTGGTGTAATCTGGTTCTTTTTGTTTATCACAAACAGATCTGTTATCGCCGTCTTTCTTAAAGTAATGCCAGATCAGATTTGTCTTTTGAAACCACCCTTCGTCCATCTTCTGACCCCTCAGTCTTACCCCTTTATCTAGCAGGCTGTCAAACTCGTCGCTCATCCTTCGCAGCTTCTGGCCGTACTTCTTGGCGGCCCACAGTGCAGGTGGAGCCGACTTAGACCGTCCCCTGAACGGAGCTCCGTCAGTGGGCGTGCCGGCCTCCTCTTCCCCCCTGGCCTGGAGCTCCTCGTCTCTGGAGACCGTGGTCGCGTGGGACTCTGAGTTCAGCCTGATCCGGCCGGCGGCTACACGGGAGAAGGAGAGGTGAGTGAGGTTCCCAGGAGCACCATCGGATTAACGTAAAGCACCAGGAAAATGAGCATTAAAGAGATTAAGCAGGGATAGAGGAACTTTAATCACCAGTTATCACTCAATGTATTCAAAAACTGCCGAGGTAAGACACCAATAACACCCCTTTCTACTGCTTGGAATCTATTCTAAGCGCATATGTTAGCGTTCACTTCAACTAACAATGCAATCTCATTTTAGCATCCCAGCATGCAAAGTAAACACCAGATTCAAAAAATGACAGATAAACAGATAATGGGGATAAAAAATGGCCAAAAAGTTTCAGACAATCAGTTTGGTTTACATCACTGATGATTTTCCCGTAATTGTGCAAGAATAGGACCTACTTTGCCACAGCTATGACGGTGAAAGGAAATGAAAGCAAGAGAATATTTACTCTTCTAGTTACACAACCTTGACTGAGATTCATGCTGATGCCATAAAGCGTGTGACTCCATATCACTCCTGTCACATCCTTGTCTGCTATGCTGACACACACACGATGCGTAACTTGGGAAATTCTGGAGTAGTTTCACAAATATAACAAAGCTTCTATGAAAACTAAAGTGCTGACAGATGGAGCAAGTTTAGATTGACGTGAACACTGGCAGACAAGTAAACACGACAAAAAAAAAAATGTGATTTGAGTCCCATCTGGAGCAGGCTTCAGGCACGGAAGCTCAAGTATACTGAATAATACCCATGCTGAGGCATATTGTGTAGTCAGCGTTTCACCATTTAACCGCTCAATTTTCCCATAATCCCTTTTGTTTTCCCACCTGGGGTTCTGAGTTCAGGTAAGGCGAGGTTGCGGCGCTCGAAGACATGCATCGGCTGTTCTGCTGGTGGATGGTTGTTTTCTCCCTCTTCTACCTCCTCCGGGTCGGACTCGCTGCCACTAATAGAGAATTGTGCAGCCATCGTGACATCTGAAAGGACAGAAATCAGGACATATGAGAAATGGTTTTACCTCTAAATGAAACATTGAACAAAATCAACCACAGTTGGTTAATAATTGTGTTGCAGTGCCCTTGACCTGCCTCGGTGAACCACAAAACAGACCTAAAGCTTGTTTTTCATAGAAATTACGCACAACTGACCTTATAATTGTTTAGTATGAGGAAGATATGACAACTGTGCTACTATTTTATTGCTAAAAAGCACGTTGGTTAGTTATTAAGGAGTCATAAAATGGCATCATCTATTGTATCGCAGATGCAGCCACCTGTCTAACACACCCAGCAGCAGCCTATCTATCTATTTACTGTCCCTGACATTAGCCAGTCCAAAGGTATTTCAGTGCACCAACCACAGAGATAACCGACTTGTTTTGGCAACACGGAGCCGTATTTACTGCTAATACGTACTCGTTGTTACACTGTAGTTAAAGCGGCCGACAGACCTTCCTCTCGGGTCAGCACACCGACTCGCTCGTGTTGTTGTTGTTGACTGAAGAGGACAAAAGAAACTTCGCACAGGGCGGAAGCTGCCGCGGCTAACTTTAAGCTAACAGCGTCCGCGAGAAACGACAGCAAACATGTTTCCTTACCCGAAATCTCTCTAGTGTGAGTCCGAGAAGTGTGTGTTTGGTCGGCTTCGGGCGGCCGCAGCTGCTGTTGTTGTTATCCGACTCTTGTCTGTTTTTTTTTTTTACTGTACAGTACTCTGTAGCTCCGCGCTCACCCAATCGCCGCGCGTCACTGCTCAGCCGCGGCGCGCTGACGTCACTGTTGCGAGCGAGCACCGGGCTGCGGCTTTGTTTGTCTCCTTCCCCTTACCGTAATGCACAGAGCACACGCGCAGTGCGATTCTACACGGGCAGGAAGCAAGGCCAGGGGCGCATCCCAGAAGTTCTCGTAGGGGTGCCCAGATGGAGACAGACAAAAAAAAAACAAATTCCA